GACCCATGAGCCTCATGGCTGCCTTCTCACCTCTCATTCTTCTCCAGCCACAGGGCCTCCTTGCTGGTGAGCTATTAGGTGAGCTACAGCTGCAAAGCCTTTACCTCAAATGCTCTTCAGCCAGAGAGGGCTCACTCCCTTACTTTTCTCAGGACTTTACTCAGTGCCATCTTTTCAATATGTTGTTGTCCCCCAGTCACTCTGCCTAAACTCTGAATCACTAACCATACACCTTCCCCTTACATGCTTCCCATTCCCCTTCCCAGCTTTCATTCTTTTTTCATCTCACAACTTAATCATTCCCTCAGCACTTACCATTTTCCTTCTGTCCACAAGAAAACAACCCCCACAAGGGTTGAACTTTTGTCTGTTTTGTTTACTGCTTGTCACCAGCATCTAGAATAGTACCAGACACTCAGAAGATACTTAACAAATATTTATATAAATAAATGTCTATATAAGAAATTGTCAGTTCTCTGTATTCCCTAGCCCATATTGCCAGGAAACCACACTTCTTCCCTAACCCTTACTTGGGTAACCATTATATGAGTACTTGACCTGAGATCCAAGGGTAGAAAGCACAGCAGAGGGTGGGCTGGTAGAAAGCCTGATACAGAGGAATTAAAGTCTGCTCTGAAGAGTAAGCTCCAACCCCTACCCCTGCCGGACTCCTGGAGGTCAGCTGACAGACTTAAGCACTGTCCCCACCCTCATTCCTAGCTCTAATCTTCAGGCAGGAGTTAGAAAGATCCTAATATGTTGAAACTGAATGTGACCTGACCACCCTACAATGATATTCACCAGTCAGTAAGTTCTATCCACAAAGAACTTTCAAATGCTTTCTAGAGTTCAAGGGCATACCGGACATTAGAGAAAAGCCTCCAACAACAAAAAATTTGGACACGAAAACAAATAGGAAAATCCTATGAAGAGGCAGAAACAGCCAGGCACAGTGCCCATGCCTATAATCTGAGCATGGTGGGAACCTAAGGCAAGTGGATTGCTTGAGCGTACGAGTTCGAGACCAGCCTGGGTAACGTGGCAAAACACAGTCTCTACATATAAAAAACAAAAAGCCAAGAAAAACAAAAATTGGCCAGGCATGTATTCCAGCTACTCAGGAGGCTGAGATGGAAGCACTGCTTGAGCCCAGGAGGTTGAGGATGCAGTGAGCTGTGATCATGCCACTGCACTCTAGCCTGGGTGACAGAGCAGAATAAGATACTGCCTTAAAAAAAAAGGAAAAAAAGAAAAAAAGAAAAAGAAACATTAGAAACAAAAGAAAACTAAAAAGGAAAAAGAAAAATAAAAAAACTAAAACTAAAAAAAAACTAAACAGTATACCACTTGCTGTAAGAGAAAGGATATAAATTAACTTCAAACCTTTAATTAGAAATTAAAATATTATAGGATTGAAAAAACCTGAAAAATGACATTGATCAAATCTCCTAAAAAGAAAAACAAGAAAAGGGCAAAAAGATAAGAAAACTAGAGCATCAATCTGGAAGTTCCAATATTTGACAACTAAGAAAACCAGAAAGGGTATGGGGAAAATCAGGAAGAGAAAATTATTAACTAAATAAACATAAGAAAATGCCCCAGAACTGAAAGGAACTTAAACCTCCAGAATCTTAGACTGTCCAATTTCCTAGCACAAGGAATGAAAAAAAGACCTATGGAATTCCAGAATTTCAAAAAGGGAAGAAGATAGTAAGAGCTTCCAGAGAAAGGAGTAAGTAGGAGGGAGGTAAGGAGAGAAAAGGAGAGAGAAACAGGGCACAAAAAAATCAGGAAGAAGAATAATATTACAATTTACATGGACTCTAGATGGATTATGTGGTGAGGCTACCAAAATTCTTAGGGAAAACAACTTTCAACCTAGAATTTTATACCTAACCAAAGCTGGGACAGGAGGGAGACAAGGACTGATTTTTTTGTGTACAAAAAAACGCTTTTTGTTCTATTTGACCTTTTAAAACCATGTACATTTATTATTTAATAAAATTGTACCTAAGAGAAATAAAAATTATGTCCAGTTAAGAGTCCCATGTCAAATCTTTCCATTACTCTGTTAAAGTTTACATTACCTACTTTTTGTTTGCTTGCTTCTTTTTCCCCAATCTTAAACATAAATCTGATGAAGCTGTATGAGAAGGGACTATCAAGAGAATCTAGGCCAATCAGAAGGTTTTTACTCTTGGATTAAAAGCCATCCGGAATAAAAAAAAAGTAGCAAGACAAACTCCTCACTACAAGGGAAAGGTCAGCTAAACCCAGGAGGACTCCTTCAGTTTTGTAAAGAGACATACAAGTTAAAGCCCCCCAAGATTGAATAGCTCTCTAAAGTCTGCTGTTTCAGATCACTGCAAATTAGAAATTGTGGCTGTTAATGAACGTTATACCGATCATATTAACATTATGAAAAAAATGCTATAGCACAAAGATCCTGACATTTTACCTAGATGTCTGTATTTTCAGGAGCTTACTAATCAGGCGTGTCGTTTTCATTTTTAAAAGCACTGCTTTGGCCAGGCATGGTGGCTCACATCTGTAATCCTAGCACTTTGGGAGGCTGAGATGGAGGGACTGCCTGAGCTTAGGAATTTGAAACCAGCCTGGGCAACATGGTGAAACTCTGTCTGTACTAAAAATACTAAAAATTAGCCAGGCATGGGAGCGTATGTCTGTAGTTCCAGCTATTCAGAGGACATTCTCCTGAGGCAGGAGAATAGCCTGAACCCAGGAGGCGGAGGTTGCAGTGAGCCGAGATAGAGCCATTGTGCTCCAGCCTGGGTGACAGTGAGACTCTGTCTCCCAAAAAAAAAAAAAAAAAAAAAAAAAAGCACTGCTTTGTCTATACATATAAATGTACTCACACATAGCAGACAGATGAAAATCTGAATAAAATCAATCAACAGTAGAGAATCGAGAATCTATCCCCGTCACTTCCCCTACCTCCAATTTATTAATTCATTCACTCATTCATTCATATTTATTGTGAGTTCACGAATTATCTCCTATCTATTAAGTGTCTGCTATGAGAAAAGCCTTATTGGGCTTTACAGAGAATACAAGGACATGGTCTCTGCCTTCAAGAAGTTTAGTGGAATTAGAACACATTGCATAGCTACTGAAACACCTGCTAGTCTGCAACTCTCTGCATAATACCCTGATGGGACAAAGACATAAGGATTTGGGGTATCTTAGGCTTATAAACTGATTCAGAAAGGGGATATTCTTTTATGGTGTGCATTCTTGTGAAGCTTCCAGTGTCAATATTTTACAAGAAGAGTACCAAACTTTGCTCTTGTCCAGGAGAGAGGCTAAGTAAGACAGCGCCTATAAACGAGGTGAAGATTACTCCACAATGACTTAGCAAATGAGGTTAAGGTTACCCCATAACTGACTGTCAAGACCAAGAGAAAAGAAGAAACAGTTTCAATATACTGAATTTGATTTTTACTGGCAAGCTGTATAAAACATTAGAAACTCAAGATACTTTTAAAAACACTCAAACGGCAGTAAGAGTATCTCAGGGAACTATATGAATTATAGGTATCAAATTCACATTAACAGATGGAACCAATAATTTCTTTAAAATATTGACAGGCTAAAATAATCTTGCTCTGTCAATCGAACTAAAAATGATTTTTATGAAAGAGTATCTTAGTCGAACATAGTTTCATTGACAGAATGACAACCAAGGCTGGGTATACTTGACCAAGCAAACTGTAACATGGATATAGTTTCTTGGCAAATAAAATCAGCAGAAACACAATGTGCAGTTATCTTCAAACCAATTAAAAATAAGAAGATATCACACTAGTAACTTATAAGCAAATGTGAGAGTCAATGTAGAAAAGTAGAAGTGATACATCTTAAATACATATCAAAAGAATGATGGTCAATGTTAGTGATCATTGCTGCCACTTCTTGAGCACTTACTATGTGCCAGGCACAATGCTAACTGCTTAATGGTCAGTGTGGCCTAGCAGTTAAGAGGTAGGTCTCTGCAGCCAAGCTGCAGAGTTCAAATGCCAGTTCTCCCATCAACTGTGTGACCTTGGGCAAGCTATTAATCTCTCTATACCTCTGTTTCCTCATCTATAAAATGTGGATAATGATGCTACCTACCTCCCAGAATTGTGTGAGAGTCAAATGAGTTAGCACCTGTAAAGTGCTGAGAATGCAGCCAGGTACACAGTTAGTGCTACAAAGTGTTAGCTGTTGTTGTTCTTAAAGCTAACTGGCAGGCAGAGCCAAAATTCAAACCCAGGACAAATTTTCCACTCTAAACATTATGTATAGTAACTAAAAGAGCGCTTATTGATAAATGAGTTAATTAACAGTGATACAATGCTGTGTTTCTTGAAAATAACCAAACTACAAATAGATAAAAACTGTACAGTGGTCATCAAAGGAAGAAGTGAGGCCTGCCAATGGGATTAGATGTAGGAGACACACAAAGCACCGCCCTGGGGTCAGGAGACCCAGGTTCTAACACAAGCTCAGCAACCAAGTAGCTGCGTATCCCTGACTGGCCACTGAAAATGTGGGGTCTGAACTTCCTCATCTGTTAAACAACGGGGTGGATAACTCTGAGGTATCTTCTAGTGCTGACATCTTATGATACTATGACCCAACAGAACATACGGTAGTTTAAAGATATACATTTTAGCGGGGGGGAAAAAGGCACTACTATTTATTTTTTGAACAGCTACATGTATTTCAATAGGCACATGATCTAGAATGTATTTATAATTATAATTTTGGGCATAGCAACTGCAGGAGAATGAAATAGCACAGAGGGGCAAGTCTACCCCATATTTTTAAATGCCATTAACATATAAACAGGTTAACCTAAGACATAAAACAATAATTTTTATAACCATGTAATCATTTTCCATAGTAAACTTTTTAAATGGGGGAATCTTATGTAAGTAGTTAATAAATGCTTTCATATATTACTAATAATCAAGTTGCAAAACAATACAATTTACCTTTTTGCCCATGACGACTGCTGAATTTGTCTCCAATCTCTGGACGCCTTGTCTGTCTCAGCAGCATTTTGATCAGAAAAGCATCTTCAGCATTTGAGGATATCATCACTTTTTCAATATATGAGTCTGTTGCTCCTTTGTAACTGGTGTTAAGAGAAAGTCACTAAAACAGAGTTTTCAAACTGCCCTGTGTGAATTTCTCACCCACATTATATTTCATTTCATGCCAACCATATTTTGACATTTTCATCTTGGGCTCTGAAAAATGACTTTCCTTTTTTTTAACATTACATTTGAATTTCATAATTTCTCTTTTACAATCCTATACATTTATTATGAGGAAGGCACAGTGCAATTTGACCCTCCCAATGGTCCATACTGTTATTCTCTTATGATAGACGAGGAAAACTGATGCTTAGAGAGAGAGGTTAAGTAACTTGTCCAAGGGCACACGACTTATACTAAGTGGAAATGGGATTTCAGACTCAACTCCAAGTTCTTAACCTCAATGATAATAGTACTTTTACTTACTCAGCTTTTCCATTATTAATTTTTTTTTTCACACAACAAACCTTATTAGGAATCTACCATGTATCAGATCCTGTAGCCTTTGGACATGTAATGATTAGGTAGACACAGTTACTGCACCAAAGGAGCTTGCAATCCAATCAAGGAGGAGACAGGTAAGTGCAGTAATGATATCTGGTATGAAGAACAGGAGAGGCCTAAGAGAGATAGTCAATTCTGCTGAGGGTGGGGGATGGCAGTGGTGGCAGTCTGTCAAGCCCTGTCACAGAAGAGGTAACCTTTGACTTATGACCTGACCAGGCAGAGTGAGCAGTCTGAGAGAATGCACAAGGCCTAACTGAATTAAAATGGCACATTTTGGAGAATAAGAGGTGATTTCCTAGAAACACAGGGCCTAGCATGGGAGTGGAAGGCCAAGGGGGCATGCTGAGGATGCCTTTCCCACAGGCGCCACTGTCATTCATACTTGCACTTAACTTATTCAAGTTTCACTCTACTTATCCAAGAGAGTAACATGACCAGAGGAGTAGTTTAGAATATCACCCTGGAGTGATGCAGAGGGAGCCTGAGTGGTACCAGCCTGGAGGCAGAAGGACAGTTAACAAGAAGTCCAGGTGAAGCAGAGGGCCACAGCACAGACACCACAGCAGGAAGTGGGAGGAGGGAGAGGAGAAGAAAGCTGCTAAGAGGATTGCTGTGTGTGGCAGGTATAGGAAAGGGGTCAGGTTGTGCTAGTGACTGGCTGGCTGCGGGCAGCTGATGCCATTTACCAAGAGAAGAATCCAGAAGGAGGAGCCCGGGGTCACTGTAAAGCTGTCCAAGTGCTGATATGAAGCTGACACTGGGCAGATGTCTATTTGGGAGTCATCAGCAAAAAGAGGGTGACTGGAGTGCTGAGAACTGGGGAGCTTGTCCAGATGAGATGCAAGCGTCATCTCAGTCAGGGTGAGGTCCCACAAGGCCAGGCAGGATCGGCGGGCTAAGAGTAAGTGATTAGACGGGTAGGAGGTCCAGGTGAAAGCAGCATCACGACATCAAGGGAAGAAAGAGGTCAGTGGTGTCAAACACTACAGAAGGGTCATATGAAATTCATTCATTCACGTGGTAGCTATTTACTGAATACCCACTATGTGTCAGGCACTATGCCAGACACTAGGGAGGACAATGAAAAAAAGAGACAAAGTCTCAGCCTGCAAGAAGATTCCAATGGAAGGATGTGTCTGATTTGGCAAATCCGACCACAAATGGATTTTGCTTATTTCTTTACTTCCTGTCTTCCTTCACTGAGGTGTGAGCCCCACAAAGACAGGGACTACCAATTTTCCTCCCTGCACTATCCCATTCCCTTGGAATAGTTCCTGGCATACTGTTAGTGCTCAAAAAAGTATTACTTGAATGAAACAAACACATAGGATGTCCTTGGTGACTTCTTCTGGAGTTGTTTCAGGAGAATGAGGAGGTAGGTGAGAGGCCAGTTCAGAGGGTTAGGGAGTGAGTGGAAGGTAACAAAGTAGAAATCGAGATGACAGACGACTGCTCTGAGGAGCTTCATAATGAAAGGAAGAGGAATAGAGTGGCAGCTGGAAAGGGATACGAAGACCAGAAAAACTTTTATTTTCCTTTCAAGATAAAAAGAATTTGAGCACATTTTCTAGACTGTGGAAAAGGAATCCATAGGAAACGGGTTGAAAATATGGGAGGATAAAAGAGAAAATGACAGAAAAAGGTCTCTGAAAAGAGTAGACGGAATTAAGAAACCAAAAGGAGAGATGAATTTTACACAGAAAAAGAGATATCCTTCTTCAAGACAGGAAGAGAGCCAACCAGCACAGCCACCTTTGTAACTGTAAAACAGCTCATCTGTAGAAGCCAGTGAAGAGTTTGGACCCATCCCCTAAGCAGAGCTGCCCATTTTCTCCTCGGTGCTCCTATTCCAGAGACAAATCCATGGCACCTACAGTGCTTTGCTGTGTTTAGCACTGTGGTCAAGAGAAGGGCTCTGAAGCCAGATTGCATGACTTCAGATCCTGGTTCTGACCCTTATAGCTGTGTGACCTTGGTAAGTTTCTTAACTTTTCTTTGCCTCCATCTTATCTTTCTAATGTGCTATTAAGAGAACATAGCTCCTGGGGTGGTAGTAGGATTAATGGAGCTAACACATGTAAAATGTCCAGAACAGTAACTGGTACAGTGTAAATTCCCAATAAGCTATTATGATCATGGTCATTACTGCACTTTTTTTGTGTGTGGGTCTTTGCCATGTGATCCACTCCTCAAACCCAGGTTAGGGCCTATATGATTCCACAGACTAGTTTTCTCTTTTATGCCATGCTGCTTTCATGACAAGTAACGTTACCCCAAATTGCTATTTCTAGCTCTCCAACACGCCAACACCTAACTTCTAATTTCTCCCATTCCTTCTCTTTTTCTAACCTTTCTATGTATTATCAAGGCACAATCAATACATACGTTATAGGCACATCTTTGTACTGTGGTTGCTGTGGTACATTACTTCCTTCCAAAGGAATCTGAGTCACTGTGGGCATGGACTTATTTACAAGCACTTGTTTGTTTTCTACCTTCTCACCTAAGAAAAAGAGAAAAGTGTTAAGCATATTGTTATCATCTGTGTGGAATACAAAGATTACGAACTAGGCACAGATGCACATGCCTGTAGTCCCAATTACTCAGGAGGCTGAGGTAGGAGGATTGCTGGAGCCCAGACTGAGGCTGCAGCGAGCTATGATCATGCCACTGCACTCCAGCCTGGGCAACAGAGTGAGATCCTGACACACACACACACACACACACACACACACACACACACACACACACCATAGTGTATATAAAATTAAGAAAATAATTCAGAGTACTATATTAACACAAGAAACATCATCTCAGTCAATAGCAATTTTATATATCTCTTAGGGTGTTAAGTTTTGATCACTTACTTTTATTTATAGTTATTTTAACTAGCAATAAGCCACCACCAATTTAACTTGGGCAATGAGAAAATCAAGATATTTCTTTGGTTTTGCTGCTATTCCCATTTTTGCTTTGTATCTCTTCATGGTGAGCTCAAAGACCAACTACTTGTAGTACTGTCATAGTGCTTATTTTCCAAACCATACTGACCAGTGTTAGGAGTGAGAAACATTCTCCAAGAAACAAAGGCAGAGAGAGGGAGAAGTCACACACTCGGTGTCTCTTTGGAACCACAGCTTGATAAAGCATTCACCACCAACAGGCCAACCATGACAAAGTCATGTGGATTTCCCTCCTAACAACTGGGTTCTCTCTACCTTCACCATAGCTCCTGGTGCCAGATCTACCTTCTATTTTAGTGCTCTTTCAATCCTTTCTCGACAGCAGTCAGAATGATCACTTCAAAATGCATATCTGAATGTATCATTGCTTTTAGGATCATAATGAAAACAGTATCATGGGTTCAGCATGGTGGCTCACGCCTAGAATCCCAGCACTTTGGAAAGCTGAGGTGGGTGGAGAACTTGAGCCCAGGAGTTCAAGACCAGCCTGGGCAAGATGGTAAGACCTCATCTCTACAAAAAACCACAAAAACTTAGCCAGGCATGGTGGCATGCACCTGTTGGTCCTAGCTATCCAGGAGGTTGAAGTGGGAGAATCACCTGAGTCCGGAAGGCAGGGGTTGCAGTGAGCTGGGATTGTGCCACTGCACTCCAGCCTGGGTGACAGACTGAGACCCTGTCTCAAAAATAAAATTAATAAAATAAAATAAAGACAATAATAACATGGTTGCAAGGCCTTGCTTAGTCTGGCTCCTACCCCACATGTCACCCACCAACTCATGTATACTATGCTTCCCTTCACTCTCTTTTTAGCCACACTGGTCTTCTTTCAGATCTTTCAACTATCAAACTTCAGGACCCTTGCACAAGCATTTCTCCCTACTTAGAACACACTCTCTGACCCTCTTCTTTAGTTAACTCTTACCTATCCTTCAGATTCTAACTCACTTCCTTGGGGAAGGCCATGCTGATCTTCCTAACTAGGTAAAATGCTCTTGCAATAAAATGGCCTCATAGCTACCTATATGATTCCTTAACTTGGGTTTGTGCATGATCCTCTAATCAACGTCAGTCTCCTGCACTAGCCTGTGAGACCCAGAAGGGCAGAGGCTATTTGTTTCATCAACAAAATGCATGACAAGTTTGTAATTATCTCACAGGCGGATAAAATTCTAAAGTAGTCTGTAAGCTAAATGTGTAAACGAAGAAATGCCAGAGCAGATGCAGGGACACGGACTATTCTAAACGTTTCCTTAAGGTGACTTTTCTATGATTCAAAATTATGTCTAGAAAATTATAATTCACATAGATTACTGATAGGTAAAAACACAGTGCATAGAAAAACAGACTGAAAGGAAATTCATTAAAAATGACTGCATTGGTTGAGTTTGGACAGTGGTATTATAGGTTGTTACTTTTTTCTGCCCTTTTTGTCAAATATTCAGAAATATTACTGAATGACAAATTTCTCCTTTAAAAGCGTATTACCTGGAGAACAAATACCATCTGCATCTAAGATTTCATGTCGCCAGATGGGTTTCCTTGTAGCAGCATCCAACATGGGCCCCATCACTTTATCAAAAGTCTGATTGGTGTACCGTTTCAATGTACATTTAGCATTTTTATATACAAGGCAACGCCCAAAGCCTAAAATAAAACCAAAATGGGCATTAGAACCACCAGAAATACAAAGCTGTAAGAAAACATGGATTTGTGCTCAACAATCCACTCCCAAAACTTCTCTGTATTTGATAAAAATCGGAGACCAGTACAAACCAAATAAAAATCTGATAATCTGAAGAAGTGGTTACAGGACTTGTTCTCTATTGTCTGTTAACACTGGAATCTCTACAACCATTTTCTGCATGGAATACACCTTCTCATACTGGAGAAGGATGAGAGAAATCTAAGACTGGCACTGTGATTCTTTCAAGGACAGAGCCATACAGTACTAGAATTGGAAAGGGCCTAAGAAATCACTTGGCTTAACGTATCTCTTTTACAGGCAGTAGGAGTGAGGTTCAGAGACATTAAGTGGCCATGGTTATCCAGAGAGTTGGCAGCAGAGTTGAGAACTGTGTTGATCAGCACAAGTCCACCGATTTCTGAGCCAGGCCACACATCCTTTTGGTGCATAACTTCTGCTGACATTCCCTAGAAAGTGTTCCTCTTTAAAATTTGACATTTAGAGTGAGTTCTAAGCCAGCAAGTAAAAACATTAATTTTTCTCCAGAGAAGAGAAAGAATGAAAAAAGAAACAATCAAATTATTTTAATGGGAAAGATAGCTCTCCTCTGCCCTAAAGATTGGAGTTTAATTACATTTTTAGATTGCATTTATCTAGTGGATGAGGGGAAAGCTGTGAAATCAACAAACAAGCTAAACATTAAGCTGCCTACCAATGATTTAGAAAAATAAAAGGAAAAAAATAAGCAAAAAGGATGGAAGAAAAACCTTTGGGTGAGGCAAAAACCTCAACCACTAAATCCCTAAAAGACAAAAATCCAACAGTTGTAGAGTTACCCAAGACAGCTGTCATTCCTTCAACACTATAATTTCTTAAGAGTCTGTGGCTGCATTTCTTTCTTTTTTCCTTTGGCCAAGCAGTTATTTTAAACTGGATTCTCTTACTAATCTCCTCAGGATATACTGAGCCATGCCAGAGTTCACTTAAATAAGAAAATATCTCAGGATTAAATGTCAGTTATTACTGATGAAATAAATGCATGGCTGAAAATCCTTCACTTAACAATTTTTCACCAGAAGCAGAAATCTAAGAATGACTTTAGAAATCAATCATGTAAAAGTGGATTTATAAATAAAATCTCAGGGCTGTAATATAATTTTAAATATGAAGGTGATGGTGAGATGAAGTAACGAATTTCTACAACTGGATGTCACATGAAGACATTTGTATCTTTAAGCAAGGCCATAGTCATCATGGCTCCTAGAAAATTGTATATGGCCATGATAAATTCGGCTCAGAATGCCAGCTGGTTTGGAAACATTACATGATCTTGAATTTTTGTAGAGTAGCCATTAACTGCAACATGCTGGAGTGCAACGTGAATCTTAATTGCATAAAATCAAGAAGTGTTTTCTTCAAAGTGTAAATAGACATTTTATTTACAGGTGATAGCTTAAAAGCTAGGGACAGTAAACTCAGATCATTAAATTGGGTTGCGGAGTTTCTGACAGACATCACAAAGTCTTCAGATTTCCACATAAACGTTACCAGTTAATCAGAAAGAAAAACATTTAGTTTTAAAGCATGGCTGTTGTCATTTGGAGGAAAAAAAGAGGCATAAATTAAGTGTGGCCAACATTAATGCCAAAGGCACATGTCTAGGAGTACTATTATGGCTGCCTAGCAACTACAAAGAGGGAAGGGGAAGGCATAGTGGGTATGCCAGAAAGGAAAAGGAGAAATCGGGATTATGAATAGAGGAGTCAGACTTCAGATCAGGTGATGGCTAACAAACCAGGAAGTGGTGACTTGCGAAAGTAACTGTCAAAAACAGAAAGAAAAGTAGAAAAACTCCAAGCCAGTGTTTGTGGCTGTGTATTTTTAACTTTCGTCACTTGGCCAAAGAAGGTACCAGATTATAAGGTTATACAAATAAGAAATAGCCTTTTACATCCAAAAATTGCTACTGACCTCTCAAACTGGTCTGTTAATACACTAGATATAGTGAAAACACGTTTCTCATATATTCTAATTCCTCCTAGAAAATACACACATTCTTACATTTTTTTCTCTTTGAAGAACTGTTTCACGTAACAAATAAAATAACAAAGAAGAAAAATATTCTGTAGTAGTACATTTCAGAAATGACAAGAAAGTCAGCATTAAAACCCAACCACTTTCCTGTTTGTATATCATAAAATTCAAATAACTTGAAACTGACATTAAATATAGTTTGACACCAAGTGATTTTTACATTAATCACCCCTATATTTAATTTTGCAAAAAGCACCTTTGGCATTAAGAGTTTTGAAAATTCACTTACCTCTGTCTAAAGAGGCCTTGTTTAAAACAAGAGCATCTTCAATATCATAGCCACTATAACTCATCACAGCAACTGTTGCATTCTGTCCAGCTGGCAGTTTCTCAAATTCTATCAATTCAATGGTTTTTGTCTTAACCATGGGTTTTTGTGGATATGCTAGTAGATACATGAGAGTATCAATTCTGTTTCGCTGGTTGTATCCTATAGTACCTGCATTGATATTGGAGAAAACAAAATACAACATTCTATTATGTGAAATAACAAGGTAGTAATGAATATAAATACATTAACAACACAAATTAAAATGAAGAAAATCTTCAAGTTCAACATTTCAAAAGCAATTCTCTCATGGTAGCTAATGACTTCCAAAAGTAACTTTTCTCACTAATAAAGTCCCACAAAGAAGAAAAAATATACTCAGAGTATACTAATCTAAGTAATTTAGACTTTTTGGATTTATATTATCCCATTTGAGGGATTTAGTTTCCACTGGTTAATTTGACAAGTAAATCAATAATTCTTTATTTGGTTCTACCATGTTCCAGGCCTGCTGGGGACAGGTAATGCGAGAACAATGCCCAGTGTTTACATGCAAGAAGCTTATACAATGGATAAACAGGTATATTTCATAAAAAGAAATAAACAATTGCAAAAGTTCTAAATGAAAAAGAAAGCAGGAAAGAAGGGAAAAAAGAATGAAAAAAGAGGAATTCAAGCAAGAGCAAGGAAGAGTAAGATTGATTCATTTATTTGATGATTCACTTATTAAGCAGTTAATAAACATCTACTCTGTGCCAAACACTCAAGATAAAATGGGAAAAGGCATGGTCCCTTCCTTAAAAAATCTAGGGTACAGTCCAATCAGGGGTGGGCTCTTCCCTCCTTAGCAATCAGTCTTTCCACCTGATTGTTCCTTGGAAGGTTATTATTGGGTCACTGTCAACTGAACATGAAATCAGAAATGTTAACCCTTTCTCTCATTTCCCCTTATAAACACGCTGGGGTTCATGGACCTGCCTGAAGAAAAGTCTTTCAGTCTCCTGGGCTTGGGGACATAGAGCTGATGCTACACAGAGACCTTAAAGTTGGAAAACTCAGGCTTGCTCTGCTGTTGAGCTTGAGTGTGGGCTACTGAGCCTCTTTAACTTCTAGGTATCTCTTTTTTTCCCCTGTAAACGGCCAAGAACAGGTGTTAATGTTAGAAAAAAGAAGGTAGCTTTAAGTTTCTCTCTCTTGCACATGCTTCCACAGTGACACATACACAACACACATACCACACCACACACACACACTCCAAAGTACCTACGTGCCATTTCACAGACTTACCCTAGGGTGTGCAGACACTAAAACTCAATTATTTATTTCTTTGAACTTTTTCTCCATACTCATGTCATTAAATCAATGATGATCTCATTTTGGGGATGAAAAGAAGGTATTCAGGCTGGGCATGGTGGCTCATGCCTATATTCCCAACATTTTGGGAGGGCAATGTGGGTGGATCGCTTAAGCTCAGGAGTTTGAGACCAGACTGGGCAACTGACAAAACCATCTCTACTAAAAATGCAAAAATTAACTGGGCATGGTGGTGTGCACCTATAGTTCCAGCTACTTGGGTGGCTGAGGCATGAGAATCGCTTGAGCCCAGGAAGTGGAGGTTGCCACGAGCTAATATCACACCACTACACTCCATCACGGGCAACAGAGCAAGACCCTGTCTCAAAAAAAAAAAAAAAAAAAAGAAGAAGAAAAAAAGAAAATAAACCATTAAAACAGCAAAAATGATACAGTACTCCTTGACAATTACTATTTAAAGAAATAATAAATATGTAGGGAATACCTAGCAGAGTGCCAGGCTTATTACAGATGCTCAATAAATGTCATGTGAATTAAACTGAAGAATCCCATTACACTTTTTATGACAGTATGTCTGTGCTTAAATCTCTAAAAACTTAACAAGATTCAGCTGAAAAACAAGTCAAACTGAACATCATGAACTTTTTATCGAGTTTGCACTATAAAGTGCCAATTAATTATGCTATTTTAGTGGCAACTAATAAACTGGGCAGGATACCTGGCAACAGATCACTTACTGTTTTAGAAATAAGATTACTACTGCTGGGATTATGGTAAAGTTCACTGACAATAAGTTTGTCCTTTTATATGAAATCATTTAAAATTTATGTTGAGATTCCAGCTCCAATTGTATACTTTACTCAGCTGGAGACAAGCGTTCAAGCAATGTCCCACCAGGCTGCCAAACATGTCTTCTGAAACCTGAGACATGCATTATTATGCAGCAGGGAAGCACAAGTGGCTGCACCTCTAAAGAATGGTGAAAAAGACTGGATCCTGCTATAAATTGTGCTACCAGGCCTAGAACATAATTCTCAGGCATTACAACTGACCACTGAAGGGATGAACAACAAAATAGTTTAGCAAATGTATGGTGCTTATGACATCAAAAAGTTTTCTCTCAAGGCTTTTTGAAGAAATTGTGAGAGTATACATGCACATCCATTTTTAGCAACACCGACTATGGGTGTGTAAATTAAAATGTTAAAATAGGATTTGTAAACTATGATTTCTATATCATAAAACTTTAAAATGCCATCAGATTCCCATATTTTTATAAAAATTATTAATGACTGACTAGTTAATTTGCCAATAAGCAATAGGCAAGCAAATGATAAGGACTGCCTGTGTTAAGCACATGCTGAAACTGATTCTATTACTTCTTTCAGCTTCCTTAAAAAGGGCATTACATGTATACATACACATATAAAACAACACAAGGAGAATATCTATAAGCTGCATTCTACTTCTATTATCCTATTTTGCTGTAACTATGGTCTCCAATGATTTCCTTTACTAAGACATAATCTTTCTTAAAAAGCCATATTTTCTTGGTAACAACTTTCTTAAGAAGTCAAAAGTTGGCACTGCCAGGTATACAAACGTAGGTTAAAATACTGAAGAAGTGCTTTTGTATAAGGTGGTATGAAAAAGGTTAGTAAGGAAGAATGTAAACAGCTTAGAAAATGTATGCTGAAAAAATTAAAATGAAGTTTTATGCATTTAGCTATTTTTTCCTGTCTTCTTTTGCCCAATTTTCTCTCCCTCCCTCTCTCTCCCCCCACCCCACCCCACTCTCTCTCCTTCTCCCTCTTCCTATCCCTCTCTCTCTTTCTTTCACCTAGGCTGGAATGCTGTGTTATAATCTCAGCTCACAGCAACCTCCGCCTTCTAGGTTCAAGTGACTCTTGTGCCTCAGCCACCCTAGCTGGAATTACAGTTGTGTGCCACCACACCCAGCTAATTTTTGTACTTTTAGTAGAGACGGTGTTTCACCATGTTCACTAGGCGAACTCCTCAACCTCAAGTGATCCATCTGCCTGCTTCAGCCTCCTAAAGTGCTGAAATTCCGCACCTAGTCACAATTTTCTTCTAAATCAGTATTTTTGAATACAATAAACTTCATCCATTTAAAGTGTACAAATTAATGAGTTCTGATAGATATATATACCTGCGAAACCACCACTATAGTCAAGATCCAGAACATTTCTAACCCCCAAAAGATCCCTCCCTTTGTTCCTCACCTCAGGAAACCACTGATCTGTTCTGTATCATTACAGATTAGTGTACATTTTCTAGAATTTTATATAAATGGAATTACACAGTATCTGCTTATTTAGGATAATCATTCTGAGATTTATCCATATGGTTGAATATCATAGTTCATTCTTTTTATGGCTTAGGATTGTATAAATATACATTTTGTTCAACCATTCACCTGCTGATGAATATTTGCATCGTTTCCAGTTTTTGGCTACTGTGAATAAAACTGCTACACACATTCACGTACAAGTCTTTGTATGTTTTCATTACTTTGGGTAAATATTTAACACCTAGGAATGAAATTTCTGGGTTGTTTGGCAAAGGTATAGTTAACTTCAAGAACATTCCAAAGAATTTTCCAGAGTGATTATATCACTTTACATTTCCACCAGCATTTCGGTTGCTCTATATCCTCACCAACACTTAATATGTCAGTCTTTTTAATTTTAATCATTCTGAGTGTGTAGTATTATCTTTTAAGATAGGGGTCTTAATTTGCATTTATCTGGTAACTCATAATGCTGAACACAGTTTCATGTGCTTACTTGGTCATTCCAAAACTTTGTGAAGTGCTTGGCTTTGTTTTTATTTTGTCCATCTTTTAATTGGGTTGTCTTATTATTGAAGTGTTCTTTATATATACTTGAATACAAATCCTTTATCAGCTATATGTATTGCAAATACTTTCTCCCATTCTATGGTTTGCACTCTCATATTTTTTTTTTTTTTTTTAGATGGAGTCTCACTCTGTCACCCAGGCTGGAGTGCAATGGTGCAGTATCACTCACTACAACCTCAACTCCCAGGTTCAAGCAATTCTCCTGCCTCAGGCTCCTGAGTAGCTGGGACTACAGGCATGCGCCACCACACCTGGTTAATTTGTATTTTTAGTAGAGACAGGGATTCACCATGTTGGTCCAGCTGGTCTGGAACTCCTGACCTAGTGATCCGCCTGCCTCAGCCTCCCAAAGTGCTGGGATTACAAGTGTGAGCCACTATGCCTGGCCTGCATTTTCATATTCTTAACAGTGTTTTTCTGAGAGCAAAAGTTTAATTTTGAGAAAATCAATTTTTATACTTCGTACTTTTTATTTTGAGATGGAGTCTTGCTCTGTTGCCCAGGCTAGAGTACAGTGGCACGATCTCAGCTCACTGCAACCTCTGCCACCCAGGTTCAAACAATTCTCCTGCCTCAGCCTCCCAAGTAGCTGGGATTACAGGCACTGTGTCTGGCTAATTTTTGTATTTTTAGTAGAGATGGGGTTTCACCATCTTGGCCAGGCTGGTCTTGAACTTCTGACCTAGTGATCCACTCACCTCGGCTTCCCAAAGTGTTGGGATTACAGGCGTGAGCCACTGCACCCAGCCTACTTTGTACTCTTTATGTAAAAAAATCTTAGCTTACCTCAAGTTGTGAAGGTTTTCACCTAGATTTCCTTCTTTAAGTGTAATGGTTTTAGCTCTTACATTTAGGGCTATGATACATTTTGTGTTAATTTTTATACTCTATAAGGTAGAAGTTAATGTTCCTTTTTTCCATATAAGTATACAGACATTTATTTTGGTGAAAAGACTTTACTCTCCATTGGATTGCT